GAGAGAGAGAGAGAGAGAGAGAGAAAGAAAGAAAGAAAGAAAGAAAGAAAGAAAGAAAGAAAGAAAGAAAGAAAGAAAAAAGCTATTAAGAAAGCAATAAAATAAATTTAAGTGGTATCTTGATCCTGGTGAATAAGGATTTGTCTTACATACACTTGACATTCTGTGTTAGTTGAGTGCCCAGAAGACAGCAAAACAAAATATGTCTATGAACTTTGTGCAGAAGAACGTCTTCAATAAATGCTAAATAATAAGGCTGAAGTCTATAACTCCAGTAAGTGTAATTTTTATAGCGTTTAAGAGTCTAAATGTCAAGGTCCTGAAAGCCTCTAAGAAAGAGATGCCTGTTTTTTTTTTTTCCCAAACAATGTGATTTAGGGTATGAAGAAGTGAGTTCAGAAAAATAAAATCTTATGTGACACTGGCAAATTTCAGTTATTTTTAAGTTTGTCTCTCAATCCATTTGGTGAATTGGAAGACTTACTTAACTGTTGCTCCATGTCAGCTCCAATCAGTGGTCCCACAGCTTCTCTCAGTAGCATCTCTTGTTAAGGAGAGAAGTCCTCATTCACACTCAACCCAGACTTTCTTAGTACATACCCAGGAGAACTTTTGTTGTTGTTGTTAAGTGCCATCGAGTCGGGTCCGACCCATAGCGACCCTGTACAGGGTTTCCGAGGGTGTAAATCTTTACGGGAGTAGAAAGCCTCATCTTTCTCCCGCGGAGTGACTGGTAGTTTCGAACCGCTGACCTTAAGGTTCGCAGCCCGATTCGTAACCACTACGCTACCAGAGCTCCTTTAGGACTACTGCAACTGGTATTGTCCTTTTTGAGAATTTTTCTATGCATTCACTATTGATGTAAATAGTGAGAAATTGATATAAATAAGAATAATTTAATGTGCTGCTGAAAATCAAAGAGAGAGATGACTGACTGTCATCAGCAATACTCATTTCCATCCCTACCAAGTTTGAATATGTTTTCTGCCAGAACAGTAGTGTTTAAATATTTTGGCTATAATAAAAGAAAAGACTTGTACTTTCCCAAAGAATTTAAAAGTTAAGGAAGGAAAAATCTGCATGCTAGATAGTCCCTGGAAAAATTGGAAGCAGAGTGACAGGGAAATGCAAAAAGTTTACATTTGTTTGGTCTTGTTGGGAAAAGGAAACACCTGATAACCTAACATGATCTTTGAAGTTAAAAATGACCTTTCATTGCATAATTTTGGAGGCAACCTAGCTTAGTAATTATATTTGCATTTTCAGAAGACAGCATCAGAGTTCCCTTACTGGTATGAAATTCCATTAAATATATTGCAAGAGCTCCTAGGTTAAGCTTGATTTAAATTTGCATACATTTTCATATATTTAGCAGAAATAAAACAAGGCTTGCAGCTACTGGGAAGTCATTAAGGCATTAGTTTCTCTAAGAAGACAGATCTGAAGAAATACAAGAAAATAAGAAAAAAGTAAATAAAAACAAGGTGAGCTTATTCTGTCATTACTTATATAGATAAAGAACATATATTTCCTGTGAAATACATAATTTCTTATTAGAACTCAGAGCGATATTGGTAAATGTAAACGTGCCTAATAGGCAAACTTGACATCTGATTAAGATGTATTTCTTTCTTTCTTAAAGAAAAAAAGATAAAGAGTAGTTATTGGTTAATGGATCATTTATAGTCTCCCTCCTCCTTCTCCCTAATTGAAATTTTAGTTTCATTTGACAATGATGTTCTATTGTAAAAGCTTATCTGCCTTTAACCTAGAAATTGATTTCCCCACTCCCTTTCTCTGTCTCCTTCCTTCTCTTCTGAGCAGTGTCTCTTTACTGCCACGTGTGCCTCTTCCTTTTCAGGAATGCATTCTCATTTGTGCCAGGACTTTTACTTCCCAAAGTAATAAGAACTTCTTGAAATCAAACAAAAAGAAAAGTGTTCAGGTGTCCTGTTAGGCTGCTTGTTGAAGGATTCATTTGCCTGTCTGTGCCTAGTCGGGTTTCCGGGACAGAGAAATGCTTTGAAAAAAAGGCTAGGGGCAAAAAGTTCATGAGCATTGCCTTGCTGTGCTGGTGGTGGAGTTTTGTTATTTTTGTGGATCTTGGGGTGGGGGGAGTTGGAAGGGATTGGTGTTGTTTTGTTTTTTCTCTCTTCCTCTTCCACTGAAGCTGCATTTGGACAAAAATATTGCTAATCTTAGTCTGGACGTTTTGGGGTTAAGGCAATTATCAATTGATAAGGTCTGGCATGAAGAAGGGGTTCCTTTGCCTATTCGGAGTTGTCTTAGTTAGTAGAAACAACCTTGCTCTTCAGCATTGCCAGTCATGCAAAAAAACGGTTCAGATCATTTGCCCAGAGTCTGGGAGGGGGGAGTAGAGGGAAGTAACAAGGATAGGGCAACTATGCCTGGGGACAGGTTTTCACACCTTTCTTTTGCATTTTTTAAATATAAGAATAGCTTTTGTAGAAGCAGATACATTGTCATCTTGCTTTTATTTTATTCTTTTATTCTTTTTTTTTTTTTTTTAATGTTGTTTTGAAACCTAGGACATAAATGCAGTCTCTTAAATTCAGGTGGAGTCACATCTCTAGCTGTTCTGTTAGAATTTCTCTCTTATAAGTAAGGTATTTTGTTTTGTTAAGAAATTATCTGCATACAGTCAAATCTTTCTGTTTTAACTAATCTACTGGAGAGGTTTCTTCACTCTTTCCTGACAGTCTAACTTCCCAAGTGTAACAGATGCCGCTCTCAAGCGCTCCTTTCTGAGGCTTCTCTTTATTCACTCTTGCATATTTCTCCCCAGGATCTGGGTTTCCATAGTGAGAGGAATAAAAGAGGGACCATGGCCACAAATCCCCTGCCCCATGCAAAATAAAGGAGCTTCATTCAAAAGACGACCGTCTGGACATGGGGGAAAACCAAGTCCATGTTAAGCTACTGTTGCAAAGAAATGGTAACTTATTTTTCATAGAAAACATTTATTTCCCTAAATTCAAAATTACCACTGTCAAACCTGCTCTCTCTCAGGCACAAGTTGTTGTGCTCCTCACCCTAATCTCAAGATCCAAGCTGAGTACTGAGTACTAATTCTTCCTACCCGCTGCAGAAATATGGCTTGAAAAATATTACAGTAGCTGCTGAATCTACCCAACTGGGGCAGCTAAATTCGCCTTAGAATAGACCATGATTTTAAAGAGGACGAATTGTCATTGTAACCAATCCACACAAGCAAACCAGCACAGGGTTTGGTTTTGGTGCCAGGCAAGTACCGTGCTCCAAGTTCATTCTTCCTTAGTCAGCCTTCACAGTCCCTCTTCCCCCTACCGATTCATCTCCACGCCCAGCCTACCCCTTCTCTTCCTTTAGCAGAGGGAGATTTAGTTCCTTTGTAAAGACAAGTCAGACAGACTTGATTTACTTATATATTCATTTACTTATTTGGAACCTGTGGTTCCTAGAAGCTCTTGGCTCTCTTCCCTTACAATATTGAAGGATAACAGCTCCTGAGTGTCTTAACAGAGACCACCCCCCACCTTTTTTGAATAAAAGGACTCACAAAAGAAATTAAACAGATTAATGTGATTCAGGTCGTGCTCCTGTGAAAGCACGCAAGCATGGCCACAGCTGGGCAGACTGTATTTAGGCTCATTCCGAAAGCTCCCCAACGGTGGGGATTACACCTCTTGCAGATTTCATATTTGAGCATAGATTATGAGGAGTACTTATCATGCGCACAAATTGGAGTTGAGGAAGGTGGTCTGGGGCTGGGATTATTAGCAAGGCGGTGTGTGTGTTGATAAAGAAGTCGAAAAGGCCAGGGTTTGACTGTATCTAATCTATATCATGAAGCTCCAGACAATGGGGGTCGAGGCACATCTGCGTGACCTTCAGATTGATAACTTCACCTTCAACATAAATTCACTTGGAAACAAGATAAATTAGATAGAGCTTGGTAGGGAAAATTTCTCTGGTAGTGTAGTGGTTTGGAGTAGGGCTGTTAACCTCAAGGTCAACAGTTCAGCGGGAGAAAGATGAGGCTTTCTGCTTCGGTGAAAATTTAAAGGTTCTGAAACCCTATGCAGGGTCGCTATTAGTTGGAACTGACTCCATGACACACCATCATTACCAACAGCAAGTGCTCTTTTTGTTTTTCGTACGAGGGAGCTCATAGAGAGAGGGGGCAAAAATGAACAGCTTCTCAACACAACAGAGAAAGTAGCCATTTCCCTGTTTGTCTGTATATTTAGCTGATGAGACCTTCTCGGTGTGAAACACAGAGCACTATAAGTAAATACATACTATCAGCCCACTGAGGTTTCTCATTATTCATCCTCTTTATCGTTTTGCTCCTTCTTGGTTTTAGTCTTATCCTTCTCTCTATTTTGTTTTTTCTAAGCTAACTTCGTGGGGGAAGGATAAGGAGTTCAGGGTACTCTGCAGGAGAAAAAA